AATTTACGCTGTGTAGTCGTAGAACCTTAAGTAACATTTACTATCATAAATCTTGGAGTAAACGTCATCCCATTAGTGGTGAGGTGAATAAACATACTTGGTTATCGTTTTACCATTTACACGATATTCCAAATGCCCATATTAAATTTGACAACAATCAGTTAAGTAGTTTCGGAGCTTATCTGCTTAATAAAAATCGACGACAGACAGCTTAGGGACTCTAGGGATCATGAGAGAGAAAACATTACGTTCGGGAAATAATAACAATTTTTAGCACACGTGTAGTCCTCTTAAGCTTGAAAATAATAATTTATTAATAGATATAACCTTAGATATAATTCATATTAATACAAAGAAATAAGAGAGAACAAAAAAAACTCGTATGTTATAAAGCCGCTCCATTTGGTAATTTGCAGAGTAGTAGTTTCTACAGTCAGCAGGTCATTAACGTGTCGTGGCACTTTTAATGGTGCAGAAAACTACAAGTCACATACAGTTATGTCAAAATACACTAATTACTTGCCTCTACGATTAACGTAAATACTTTCAGTAGATAAATTTGTTTGAGTATTAATGCCACAAGCAATAGCTGGGGCTATTAAATGATTCACAACAGTCAAATCAATTTTTATTTAATTTTTACTCCCCGAGCTCAAGCTAAGGAAGTATTGTAAACGAGTCTATCGGGCTGGTTGCTTTTATATTTTCTCGATGACTCATAACCCCTAGCGTACGAAAAAATGGGTCTCCCGTTTTCGTCTGTCTGTTTGTCTATCTGTTTGTCCGTCTGTCTGAGATGTTCTTTGTTAGACAGATAATCTCCGAAATTATTGGACCGATTGTTGTCAAATTTTATGTGTGTATTATGAATACCATGTCCATGGTAAAACGCTAATTAAACGTTGTCTAATAGTCCTCACTAATAATATGACGTCACCTCAAAATTGTACATAGTACATGGGCTTGAAATTGTCTAAAATAACTATAGTTACTAAATAGTTCTACACGTGTTCTTTGTGCAACCGTCTTGAGTTCACCCGAAAAGTTTTGTTTCTGGAAAATTTAATGTTGAATCGGCAAAACCAAAAGCTTTGAAATCTTGCAGATCTTTTAAAGTTATTACAAGTATGGTAAATTTTTAATCAAAATATAGTTGCTTATCCCCACCTCAAAATTTGCGAATAAATCTTATCTCAAATGTACAAAATATGATGAGTCTGTGCTGTGAGAGTGCTTTGAAATCTTGTACACGTTTTCAAGTTATTGTAAGTATATTGCAAATTTTTAATCAAAATGTGTGTTTATCCTCACCAAAAAATTGATGACATCATCTCAAAATTTTGCCGAATAAATTTTGCCTAAAATGTACAAAATATCATGAGTTTGACTTGTGATTTATCATTGTATTCATATTTTTTAGATTTGCTTATACAGATGGCTCAAAAAATTAATGAGTTAATTTATTTTAGCGAATAAATCAGGAACGGCTCATTTTCCAGAAAATTTGGGAATACAATTATTAGTATTATACTTCACAAATCCAAGTTGCAAAATTCATGACAACACAAAATTTTGTAAAACTCATTAAAACAAACGCGTAACAGATTTCTTTACATTACATATATACGTTTATTTCCACTTATACGGGTTCTCATAAAAAAATTAATTTCGCAACATCGACTTTTATAGTTTTTCGAAAATACTGGATTCATTGTACTTCAGGTGCGAGGTAAGTTCGGTCGAAACAACCTTCGACCATTTTTTTTTATAGAGGTTATTACAAAACGAAAATCATAAATAGTTATTTTCCTTCAGCACTTCCCGTGCGCGTTAGGAGGAATGTTTTTCCTAACGGCGTTTTTTAGATCTTTCAGCAATTAAGATTTTCGTCATATTTATAAATATATATAATAAAGTTGAGTAGTCAAGGTATTGCGAATGCACTTGTTTAAACATAAACAAGTTTTTCGCAAAATATTTGTCAAATAATACCTAATCGTGTTGTGTTCTGTGTGTTCAATTGAAGATGGAAAACAAAGATTCCTCTAGCGATTCTATTCCTTCGGAGGTGATATAACAGTGATAAAACGTCATGGGGGATCGAAATCTACGTCCTTTGCGGAAGGCTACATTGAAGTTTCGATGGCCAACAAACGAAACATCGCTAATCAAACTTTCGGAGACAATAACAGTTGTACTTTCACCGATAAAAAGAAGCTGAAGTTGGATCTGAACAACCCAGAAGAGCAGGCAGTAAATGTTAGCAGAGTGTTTGAGATGAAAACCACTGAAGACAAAGATCGAAATGAAAGCAGAGAGAAAAATAACTAATTATATAAATTGTTTTTTTACATTTAATATAAATAGTTGTAATAATTAAGTAATCAATCTTTGAAATGTATTTACATTTTACTTCCCGCACTAGTGCGGAAAAGTATCACTTTCCGCACGGGTTAGCGTGCGAAAACTAGTCACTTTCCCCACGCCGTTAGGAAAAATAAATTTTATTATTTTTCAAAGAAGCGGAATTTGTTTCAGGGGCGAGTGAAGTCCTGTCAAAATAAACGACCAATTTTTTTAGTCGATGAAACATTAAGCTTGTAGGTAGATAGCATTCGATTTGTCATTGTTCACGTTGTTAATAAAATTGCTCTTATTGCAATACGCAGTGCTCCGATAAAATTAAATCGATAAGATACTTGAGTAAAATATATTTGTTATTTATTGCAGTCGATTGTACGAGACGGGTTATGCTCTAACATTTTTCTCTAAATGTTAATAATTTTCCACATAGCTTTAGATATTTTAGTAGAATTGATATAATTCCTGCGTTGATTAATTTTAATTAGTCTAACGTTATTACACAGCAAAATTTTTAAAACTAGTACATGTTTTTAATTATCTGATAATAGTGTGTTATTGATGTTATTTAGTTTAGACATCGAGCTATTTGGTACCGAATAAACATGTACATTTAGAACAGTAATAAACTTATTAAACGTTCTGCTTATATAGTCGAAGTATCATTTATAACGCTGAAATCTGTGTTGCGAGATGATAGACCTTTAATTTACGCACTACACTGATCCTATTAATGATGTTATACGTATCATTTCTGGGCTTTAAAATTTAACATAACATTTTAGAAGTCTATACTGGGGGGTTGGTATTAATCGTTAAGATAATTTACAACACTGGCTGATTTCCAGTTGTTTGAAAGATTCAGATCAAATACTTGTTGGTGTTATTAGAAGTAAAACTAAACATACATACAAAGGCAAAAATGTGTGTGCCAGTGAAGACATTATTTTAAACGCGTTTTATCAAAGTTTACTCTATTTTGGCTAACGTACTTATTACGAGAAAGAACTAAGGACGTCCTAGGATAATCGATGATTAGAATAAATACTGCAACGGAAAGGAGTGAAAATACTGAATTTTATTTGTATTATTTTATTAGATGAGTAACATCATATACAGGGTGTTATAGAATTGAATACAAAAAATTTTACGAAACCTTACCGGCTTGTCCATTGCCTTCAGAACCTGTTGTGACAAGATGGGGTTCATGGACTGAAGCCGCAATATATTATTGAAATCATTTTTGACGACAGAAAACGTTCGTTTATTGCTATTCATAATTTTGTTGTGTAATTTTAAATTAAATGAAACATTTTAGGTTATTATGGAATTTAACTCCAGTGTCGAAATACATCGCTGATACACAACACTATTTCCAACAGAAACATACCAAACATAATTTGGCTTATATAAAAAAACCCATTTTACTTTAAGTCAGTGGATGTAGAACAGCAATTGTATAAAATTATAAATGATTGGAAATACCCCGGGGAGAGTAAGTGAACTAACATATAAAAAGCTGCAACATATTTTACAAAAAAATACCGGGTACCTAGAGTTTAAATTTATTAGCGAAGTATTACAAGGCGAAAATGTAAAAAAAGATTAAAAAATGAAACTGAAATTTCCTTTCCTAGGTATAAAAATGTCCTAACAGATAAAAGGAAAAATTTTTCTGCGGAAAATTTAGAAAAAGAATTTGTTATGCAAATTTTAACGAAGATTAGGATCGCTAATTATGTAAAATAGTAAAATAAATAGAAGTCTCAACTCAAAACTTGCCTATTTTGCCATTTTTCTGACCTAAGTCCCCCGTTATATCGCCTATTTTAGATCCTAAGGTATTTTGTTTTTTTTTCCTAAAATCCGCTCTTTACGTATCAGTTAAATTATTATTTTTGTTCTCTTCATAATAAATTCTCTCACTTTTCGTATTATAAAAATCTAAATATTGTTGCAGTTGTGGCATTGTTGGATTGAAGGGGTAAAATGTTACGAAGAATTATTTTTGGTTAAATAAATGAAAGCACATTTAACTAATTAATATTTCTTTCGTTATTCAGTCGTTTTTCTTCTTTGTTACTTTTTGCACAAAATAAAGATAGACAAAAAAGGTAGAGTCAATTCTAGGGTTAGGCAATTCTTTATAGGTGTCAACGTTCTTTTGTCTTACAGTTTTTATTTTAATTTCTGCAACTGCTTTTAGCTTCCCAGCTTTCTAAATATTTAGACAAATCCACTGTTTCGAGTAATTTTATTACGCCCAAAGTTTTATTAGACACGACGTGGATGGTTAATTTGTATATCTAACTAGAGACGACAAAATTTCTTTAACTTAATTTTATGAAAGACGTCAACTTGTGACGAGACATTATCTACATTATAATCAAGTCTTTTCATCCCTTTCATGGACTCATTACATCGAAAGAATCGAGCAAATCTCAGGCAATTCGATTTATTCTATATCCAGTACACCACCGACAATAAGAAGCGCATGTCAACAAACTTTTGAATCTGCGACCGCTCTCCTTCAGTATCCTGAAAGCCGCATGTCGTGGAACATTGCAGCGAATCCTCGAATCGCGGACGCTAAAACTCTCGCTGAAAATATGCACGGAATTTTTGTGAAGTGTCTAACATAAAAAGGGACTCGTGCGACTCTTTTCGACTAACTATCGGCAGAGGCGATTTCCTGATAATGTAAGTCTTGAAAACTATAAAATTCGATTTTGTGCAACTGTTAGCAGAGATTCTTGCGAAACCCTCGTCATGTCTGACGTGTTAAGCCGACTGAAATCTCCGCCTAAAAAATGTCCAATGGGAGATTGATGTATTTGCGGGCTTTGTGAATGTAAATAAACGGCTATGAAGAAGTTGTATCATGTGTCAGACTTGTTGAATAAAAAATTGTTAATACTGCTCGGAAAAAGGACATATTTTTTCAGAATGTTTGCGTTTTTTGCAAAGTTTTTTTCGTTAATCTTTGTTTGATGTTTCAGCGGATTTAAGTCGTTTCGTTCGGGAAAGGGATCACGAGTTTGAGCTAAAATGACAAATGAAAAAAATTTAATATCTCCCTTTTTTACAATTTTAGATTATTTGCTGAATGCATCATTTTTTGTTGGTGGAAAATGTTAAGTATGAAAAAAATTAACTCGCTTAATAGTGTATGAAATAACAAAAAGACTTTAAAACAGGGATTGAAAAACAAGAGGGGGTGTAAATTGTTTTTCAAAGTTAGTACAAATTTTGTTTGCACAGTTATGAATTTTTTTAAAATCAACTATTAGATTTCACTTGAGTGGAATTTCTACAACAATGAAAGTTGGAATAAAAATAGATTTATAAATTCAATAAACTTGACAACTTATCACAAAGTTATTTAGAATTTTGCAATTTTTAGGAAGTAGCTGACTATAGTGGCTGCAAATTATGGAAAAAAAATAAATTTAGGAATTAGATTTGAGAAACATTGAAACCATAAAAGTTGTGATCTCTTGTCGCCGCCGCTAACTATTTAGAAATTATATCGTTTTTAGGACATTTAAAGATTATAAAATCTATATGTAATGATTTTAAAAATTGTAAATGATGGAAAATCATGATATAAGAACTGGAACTGTTTTAGTTTATTATATTTACATTTAATTCTATATAATTTTTCGAAAGTAGTACCAATTATATTTTAACGCCATCCCTTTTTTAGATAGTCCATTAAGTTTAATAAATTTTGACCAATTTTAGTGACTTTGAATGAGCTGATCGTGAGAAAATAAGTAAATTATATTGCTGTATAGATAATTTACTGAAACATAATCAATATTTCTTGCATTAAGGAATTTAAAATCTAACTTTTTGGAGATGACATAATAATTTTTTTAGTGGAGAAAATATGTTAATTTTCATTAAGGTAAAGAAATACTAATTACAATTTTACTTTTTGATACCATGTTAAGGAAATTATGAAACATTGCTCAGATAATAATTGATACATTGTACCAATACCTCATATATGCTTTTATATTTGTGTACTCAGAGTAAACCATAGTAAAAACGAAAAGCACAAGCGCTATATAGCAGTTTATGATATGTTCGTAATATCGTAATGTAGAACTAAATTTTTGTTGGGTGAGAGTAAGTAAAAATGCATTGAATACCTACTTATGGTTTCGTTGTATTGATTTCTTTTGTTTAAAAAAATTAAACTATTACAATACAATACATATAATGGTAATCAGATTTTCTGCAAATGATGAAATGGTAGCAATGAATTGATTAGACAAATTAAAATTTTTGTAGAAAAAAATAAGTGTACAAAGGGTTAATGATTTTCAGTGACATGAACTTTTTACATACAATACGAGATTTAGGATTCGCTTTTTTGTCAGTTCTTGAAATATTATGTTAAAATATGTCATATGTAGTTTTGACGTGGAATAATTCATTGGTAAATTTTTATGTGTAGGTACTCGGTGTGAATTTATACTATTCGTGTCCGTGATTTACGAACGTTATAATTCTAGCACCGGTGAATGCAGTAATAAATCATACCAAAAAGGTGCAATTAGCTGATCACAGTTTCCACAACCATTTTATGAATAACGTGAAGTATTTCTGAGTACAAGCTTCGTTAAAACAATATTATTCAATGAAAAATAGATCGAACCTGTAGAATTTCCAGAAACAAGATTTATGACCTGTTCTTATCACACTAGGGCAGAAGTGGAACAGATTGTTTGTTTCAGAATGGCTTTTTTTGGACGTACATTTTTACATGATAAATTGTTTTATCTCTGCGATGTATGCTATGTCGTATTCTTACAACTGTGTTATTTTATAAAGTAAATTTTTTGTTTGCTTGGATATTTATGTGCGTTTATTTCGTGATATCGCTACATGGAATGGAATTCGTGTAGAAAAGCGGTTTATTTTATTAAACGTGTTTAACATGTTTTGAGTCCTCAATTTCCTTGCTTATTAGGGAGCATTTCCTTGCGGGAAATGTCCTAAAATATTATTGCGGCTTTGTAGGAAGCAGGTGTACAGGGCTCCAAAAACCTGTGTGTGCAACCACATTATTTAACAAATTCGCGGATTTTAATGTTTACCGAGGCTTACTCGAGCACCATTTTGCGGAATATACAGAAGTAGTAGCAACGGTAAAGCTGGAGTTTTGTTTCTTACTTTTAGAAAACAATGCGTTTTACGATTTCAAGCCGACGGCGACGCCCCAGATGCTCGTGTCTATGTTGTTTTTAAGATCACTTGTGCGTGTAGTGACATGCTGTGATTTCCAACTTAGCTGAGTCGAGTTCTTAATAAATGTTTAATAAGTGTTGTTCTGGCTTTTCAATTTCATGCTTTTTGTAAACATTTATTTCAAAATGTATCAATTTATGTATCATTTATAGTTTAATGAAATATGAAAAAGTAAGTTGAAACCATATTCATCAGTCGACTAAAAGCTTATTCGATACTATTTGAAAGTAGGAGGGAAAGAAATCCTCAAGAAACAATCAAGCGGGGTTAATTAGGTGACATAGCTGGCCATTCAGTTGTTTCTTTCCCATCTCTCAGCAATAATTTGAACGCATACGCTACCCCGATACGACGCCTATAGATTTTCTAGTATGTATGACTCATCACTGGTGACGGCGGCGTCCGAATAAAGTGAAAGCCTGGAAGCGATGTTCGCGGTCTTTCCAGAAGAAGCGTACGGCGGTTTAAAAAGAGACCATTGTCGGGAGAAGTTTTAGTCGAATTCAGTAAATGAGAGAATTTGAGTCTATTTTAAATACCCGTAAAACGTAACAATATGTTTCTTGCTAGTGCTTTTAGATTCTTGCAGTTTGTAAGTAGATATTTGTTTTAGTAAAGGAACAACAAATCGCATTTTAAGATTTTTTTAATCAACCCTCTGCTCATCATGTGGTTCAAAGTCGATTTATCTATGGAACTTTTTCCATCACTTCTAATGTGACAGTGAAATCACGCTCGTTGTTAATAACAGTTTTTGGTCGTTCACATTTTGGGTAGGTTTGAACATTTGCAGTTGCACTGAATCTATGTGATATCGTTATATGTACTTGGTAACTAATTTCTAAAATAATGAGTATGAGAATATTTAGAATAATGGCTTCATTCTAGTTTAACTTTTGAAGTTTTTTTCAATACCGACATATTTAATCTCTTATTTAAAAATATTTATCCTCCACAATTAAAAATGGCAAAAAACGCAAATTCTTCATTATAATCATTCATAATAATTCTTTCGGTTGTTCTGTTACAAAGCGGTGCTATACTTTCTCGTATAGAGGTTTCGATTTCTCCGGCAGCAAATTGTTTAATGTCCCTTCGGCTTTTTTTACGATATCTCCCGGAATTAAAAAATTTCCAGAGTACTCTTACGTGTTTTTTCTTCTGTTTGTTTGTTCATATTTTTCTGAACTTCACACGTTTTTAAAAAATGCGTTGTTTTCGAATTATTATTACAATTTTTTTTACGGCAATTAATCCGTGTTATCTTAACATCTCGAATATCCTACGAGTACTTTAGTTTTCTCTAGATAAAATATGTAATAAATGGGTCGTTATTGGAAAACCGGATTAAACTGTTTTTGTTTCCTCAAGAATTTTAAAGCCCGAAGCAAGTCTTACATGATCATAAGAAAAAATCAAGTTGGCTGTATATCTCGTAAACAAATGCCACTATAATCTTAAAAAAGAGAAGATAGATCTTTAATTGTCCTACATATGTGAGAATATTTATCCGTTTATTTTAATACTGAGCACTCCTACATTTTGTACATTATTAATGTTTTACCGAAATGCGACAGGTTTTAGGAAGTGGCTTGAATATTTTATTTTCCGGAATCATTTTGAAATGTGGGTGTTTTCAAACACGAGTAAATAAGATTTGTTTGTTTTAATAATTGACTCATTTTCTGTTATCTTTCCGTGTGATGTATAGATAAAATTTGTTGTGACCTTTGTGTTACGTGTAGGTATTAGGTATATTTGGTTTTTTATGAATTTATTGGCCACCCACGTTAGAGTTAGAAAAAATTGGAAAGACAGTAGCTATGTATTTTCTTCTTGTGTAATTCAACATTTATTATTTATTAGTATACAGATCACATTATGAAAAAAAAAACATCAACATGTTATTTAGTTATTATGATTTTCCTGTGGAGGCTCTTCCATTTCTTATTTTTATTTCTAGGTTATTGGTTTCGGTTCAATGACCTTCGATGGATCTATCTACAATTGTTGAAAACTGAATTAAATTGATGTAATGGAAATAAACCTCTTACTGTTTTTTCGAACAAATTACGAAACGACAAATTAAAAACATTGAGCATATGCTCATATGATTTCGTAAATAATTTTTGTCTAACATTAAAATTTTAGAAACGAGCGTGTTTTTATCAAATATCAAAAGTGCTCGACCTAAGTTAAGAAAACCAATCGGAGCTTGTTGTTCTGGTCAGGTGATCCTCGTTGGTGATTCGTTGAGTGTTGTTAATAACCCTAACATTGATATTGTTGGAATTGTTTCTCTTTTCCATTTCTGTAACAGTAGGAATTTTTTTCCCTTTTTCCTTTATGTAATATTTTGACTTTATTGCGTTCAAAATGATGATCTTTTATTAAATATTCGCTAAATGCAGATAACTTGTTTGGGTTCAAATGTTATTTTA